AATCCCTGGCCCAGTCAAGAAAGGGGCTGCTTATCACGTCAACATGATGATGCAGCGCAAGAAGGCCTTTGTGGTCGGGCAAGGACTCAACAGATTTGACATGGCTCATGTGACGAATGTAGCAGATGCAATTGTAACCTTGGTCGAGGCTGCCTACGAAGAGCTTGAGACTCAATATGCCAACAATCCAAGTTCCTCTTCCAAGGCGCACTGGAATGACAAAGGATATTATTTTCTCACTTCTGATTGGAAAACCCCGAATAAAGCTACTTATGTCAAAACAGCTCAATCTCTGATGAGAATGAGATCCATACCACTCGATGATGGTGTGGATTATTTGACACCGGACGAGGCGACGTCATTGCATCCATTTGGAACCATTATTTTCGGGGGCAACCTGAAGATCCAAGGGAAAAGGATAAGAGATAAGTTAGGGTGGAAAGCCTCTTCTATCCGTTGGGAAGACGCTCTGAAGGAGGAGATAGAGAATGAGGTCTCAAGACAGGCTAGGGGGAAGTTTTGGGAGTTGGGTTTGGTCGTGAATAAGAAATAGGTACAGAGTAGGGTGCAGGGCTGGAGTTTTGTGTTTAGACTCATTTACCCAGATCCGTCGCTTAGCGAAGCAGCTGCTAACGAATGCGTCCTTAGACTTAATAGTCATCTGCGTCTGCATAGTTGATACGAGAGACTAAATTTTACATGCTACTAAGCCAGGAGAGTGGAAGAGACCAACAGCCAAGCGTGATACCAATCCTTGATGACGAAGTCAATTTATAGGGAGCTTCTTATCTTGTCCACCTACTCGCAAGAGTCATTAGCTGGCTTCGAATGCTTTTGCTGGCCACCGCAGCTATCCCTTTCATAGCTAGAAGCAGAAACAAGAGAGATTTGATAAACGAGCCCTTTCAACCCTTATGGAAGGTACTTGTTGGCCTCGGAAGCTACGATTCAAAGCTCGCCTTTCTAGTAGGTCGAACGGTCGGACTATATCGATATCTCTGGGAGTTTTGTGTGTTCAAGCATTCGATATGGACCAGCTAGAGCAAGATACCACATTTTCAATAAGGCCGTCATGCCCTTAAGGAGAGAGAAAGACGATCTTCAGCTTCGATACGATGAAAAATTATCTCAGCTGCGCTTTTCTGGGCAGTCATTGGAACCATGTTGGGAACGACTAATCAGCATATTCAATGCGTAGAACCAGCCAGTTTAACTCGATCTGACAGGGCCCTCGGACATCGCAAGAAGATGGCGAGGGTTGCCGATCCATAATTATCCTGTGACCTAGTTTTTAGAAATATTACGGCGATGAATCTCCTCGCGGTGGGAGCACCAAAAGACAAGGGTATTCAACGCTGAATCGAAAAACGTGTAAACAAGAGTAACACATTCAGATAAATTAGCAAGATATGCTTAACAATGAAGCAGAGAGTAAAATGTCAAGTGCCCATGAACCGGACCCAAACAATGTCCGTTGAATCTTCTCCTTCACCAGTTGACGGCAATTTCACTAATACACAGAAGTGAAAACAGCAATCAGTCAGAAATTGCTCATTTGGTACGAGGCATTCGAAAAACTTTCGGAAATAATTTTGAGATGAGACGTCAAACCGGAATGTTCAAATTCGCCTTGGAACGACCATAAACGGTGAGCAATCTTATAATAGCTGTTGAAAAGCTTGGCGTTGATTTACATCATTTGGCGGCCATAACCTGCTCTTCTATCACTCTGGACATGTAGCTCACGTCCAGTAAGTGGCTGCGGGGCCGTCTTAACGATAGCACACAGGCATGCAACTCAAATGGGAGCAGCCGACCGGTTTGAACGTAAGGTAGATCGAGAGCCACAAGTTTGTGTATACCGCCTCCCTCGCTTTTGAGCAACAGAACAGTGATTGTCTACTGAATTTTCTTTCTCCTCCGTCTGGTATTTGAATGATGTCGTGTTATGGGGTAGAAAGTAGAGGGAGCTGTTATAACCCTGTATGTGCCGATTAAGACCGAAGGTGCCTCCTGATGTACATGAAATGAATGGCCGCAAATGATTGCACTCTCTTTATCACCTTCTTCAGACAAAGCCCCTCGGTGTGACCAGCCTATGCCTCATTGGGTGGACCCAAAAAAAAAGTTGAATTTTGACGACTAGAACATTGTCATGCATAACCCAGTGGAGGATGATGGAAGGGTGCATGTAGGCAGCATAGATCAACTGGCATGTCAAAAAAGCGAGATTGATATAGCAAATAGACCTGGCACTTACCCGCGGGTAACCCTCATAACCCAACACCTAACCCTCCGCTTGGGCAGGTCAGGTTCCAAGATTCCGACCCTCCTGAGGATAACCCGCGGGCAAATCTGAGGTACGCCAAACATGACAAACAGGTAAAAAGCGTCACTCGGGGTCAATTGCATAAAATATGTAGAAACAGGCCGTTTTCTCTTGTAATTGGAAATTAAAACTTCGTTACTGTATGGCCTTACAGAAGCATTTTGGTTAAATCAGAGGATTATTTTTGAACAGGGCTCTAAATGATACTTAATGTACATAACAATTAGATTCGAATACAAAGTTCTCAAGTCTCAACCTTTTCCGCATCCTACATGAAACACGATAATGCGTATCAGGCAAGGGTGATACCGAGTTCTCTTCTGGATCCGCAAATTCATCGGCGTTAGGGACTTCCTCATCACCGAAAGTGACCGCCGGCCGCTTTTTAGCGGCGACTTCTGAGAGTAGTGGTACGGCTGGCGTATCAAGGTGTAACTCGATATCTTCCTCAGTATCACTAATGGCCTCGGAGCAATGTGTCTCGATATCGAGTTCCTCAGATGTGGCTGCGATCTCTTGCTCTGAAAGATACTCCTGGAGGATCAGCCTTTGCTCCTCCTTAATGTCGAACCTTGTTGTGCATAAATATAACGTGATATCGCGAACAGTATCTGGGTTCAACGACCCCCGGCGATAGTAGCAAACGTCCCGGGCAGAGTTAAAAAGACGCTTAACTCCAGCACTAGGCATTAGAATAGACATCATATCACGGGTAATACTTGCAAGAATAGAGAATTCCTTCTCATGATTTCTCTAGAATATCCGAGCTGATTCGTCAATACTATCTAAGAAGATTAGCTTTATAGTTCATTTCATGAGATACCTACTTACCACTCTGAAGATATCTATTAGGCTCATCGTACTACGGACCGATTGATAGCCTCGAGAGGTCGCGCATACAAGCCCTTTCAAGCGCTGATTTGGTTGTTGATAGCCTAATTTCAGACTACGTTATATCTGATAGTATACATAGGCTATATCTCTTAAAAAGAGACTAGAAACTCTCACAGTATTCCTATTTATAATCGTTTCCTATATGATCTAGGGTCCAATCACTTGTTGAAAAGAACTCCATCTTATTCGTCGGATCCAAGATCGTCCCAATTGCATAGAGATCACATTCGACATCATCTGTCATACCGTAGTATTTCGAGAGTTTTCCTTTCGCAGCCTTGAGGAAGGAAAGCATTAGCTGCTTCCAGGAAATCTTCTATCGACGAGGCTGACACATAAACCTTTCAAAAGATCAAAAAGCTTATTGTGAATTCTAAAGACGAGATAAATACCCAAGACTTTAGTTTGACAAACTAGCGTAGTAAACGTAAAGAAGGGCTAAATGATATAAATCAGATAGTCAATCTATTGCCATCCCTCTACACGTAATACAGAATAGAGTTAATCATGATATGAACAGTACTCGTCGAATGTAATATAAAGCCTTTTCGCCCGTCGGAGCATTAGAAACGTCGAATTCTATCACGTACGAACGTCCTAGATTGGGACCAGCTTTTGCCTATTAGACTGGAGATTCAAGAAGGCTTCTTTACGTTAAGGGCTTCCGTTGATATAAACCTTAAGACCTCAAATCTAGAAGGATAGTTAGTGATTTATATAAGATATTTAGTCAAAACCCTACCTTATCTAGAGTATCGGCGATCTCATGTTTCTGCTGGCGCGCATGATTTAAACGTACACGATCATCAGAACGCACTGACTTGGCAGTGTCGTTCTTTGGTAAAGCCTTGATTTACCAAGTAAATCAATCAGATTTAATTAAATCACATACGCAAGGCAGGGCACTTGAATAATCGTAGAATCTATCTTTAGCTATAGTTCACGGATTAAATCATTCACCAGTCTTATTATTAGACGCATTATCAGTTATTACCGCTAGTACACAATTTAATGATTTAATGGTTTTGTAGAATCTGGAGAACAACCTCACCAAGATTTACGCTAGAATGAGTTCCAGAAAGAGGCTCAAACCCAAAGAGGACCTCGCGATTCTCCCATTTCTAATCTATGAAATATCCTTTTATAACCATGAATATATCCTGGAATAATAAAGTCCAATAGTCAAGCGTAAATAAAAGTTTTATACTAGATAAGAGTTATTATAATATGTCTTGTTAATACTTTATAAGGAAACTCCAGAGGTGTTTGCCAATTACCTTTCTTAACGGGACGCTTAGTAGTGTAGGTATTAACCATGCGTAGAAAAAGAGATTACAGAATTCTTGATACTCGAGGAATCGGAAAGGTAATTACGATATAGTGATGAGATTAAGAATCTTCTACTCCCATATTCTTTGGGTAAAAGTGGGTACTAGTCTTCTCTCGGCCTAAGAGAAAGTGAATTAAGTATTAGTATTAACGTTCATCTATGTTAGTTCGAACTTATCGCGTTATTAAGTAGTTGATGGATACTACTATTACCCTTCTCCAGTAGTCGCTATCAGCACCTTGATCCATCGAGATATTTCTACATTATCGATGTTCCAGTATAGTTCGTAGCTAGATACGCGAAAACTGTACGGCAGTGATTACACATAACCCCTAGCTTTCCATCTTTAGCATTTGCAACTTGATGAAACCCTTCCCAGCACTTTACACGACGGCTTCCAGGGCTTATATCCCAATTAATCCACTTCGACTTACCATAGTTAGTGTGAAGCCACCACTGAACGAATTCTGCAGACATCGCTGGTGTGCAGATAATAAACTCGTTAATGCGGTCGGGCCTGATTCGCGGAAGGGTATCTGAGGCTTGAGATGCCACACGAATTTGAACTCGGTTATCCGGAAGGTCAAGGGTTGAATCAAACTGGCTCTCAGATTGGAAGTGACTCTGGCTTTTGCTTTGGGAGAGGGAATCGTCAGGAAGGAGGAATTGGAGCGCGTCTAATGGCAACCCGTCTGGAGTTTCGAAGCTAGACGATAGGTAGACTTCGGAGAGCTGAGACATTATAGATTCAGTAAATTGGAAGATAGTATACTGACCGAGAATAGTGATAATAGAGAACTTACTGGTTTGTTTATACGAAAAGATATTATAATGTTCTCGGGGTATCTATTTGACCCTGTTGTATATGCTAGAATTGATGTATCATTTTTTGTATCCACCTCTCTAGAGTTAATTCGCTAGTACAATGAATAACCCGATAATCAACCCTCTCCGCACCTCAGTGCACCTCAAAAACACCCTTCATTGCCCCTAAACGCACCTCAATGCCCCTTATTGCACCTCAATATGACCCTTTAGTTAAGAAAAAAGCTATAATCAGAACGGCTAAGGCCAACAATTAAGAAATTTGAACTCGGTTCATGACATATCTACATGCATTATCCTTAATCCTCAAAGGCAAAGTGACGGCAGAAGACTTAAAGGTCTAAATAGCATCGAAATCAGTGGAATTTAACGACATCTTAGTAGTTTTCTTCAAAAATGCAGCTCTACCTATGAAGATATTTATACTGTGTGGTATGTGCGATATATACAACTACAACTTTATATGCTATTTTTATCTATAACCCTCATTGACCACCTACAACGTCGGAATCATTGAATATTACTTATAAATCATAGGTGACGACGCCTACTATGTAATTTTACATGACTATTTCTTCATAAATCATTATGTTAATAGAGTATTCGATGAAACGGCTGTAGATCAACGGAACAGCTGTAAAAAACAGCGATGAATCATCCATTTTATCCAGCCAAAAGAGGAAAAGCGTCGAAAAATTATGCAAATGCGGGTTCATGCGGGTTACCATCCAGCGACCCTCCCCACCCTCAGGGTCGGTTGAGGTGCAAAGCCAGGTCTAGGAATCAGAGAGGAAGCGATGAGGGTCAGGAGTTCTGACCACCGAGACAAAACAGTAGGATGGCACTAAGCAAAAGCCGTGGTGGTTTGATGATGGCGAAACTTCCTCAATAGCTGCAATGCGTTTCGGGAGATAGACCATCGGTCCATTGCAGTTTAACGGCGTACTGCCTTGACAGCTGCCGAGTTTTCCTGGAACTGACGCAGCATGGCGAATGACGAGACATAGTTTACTTTAGATAAGTTTTACGCGATGCAATCAGCTCGACTCTCGTCGATGAAAACAACACCAGTTCATCTGAATCGGTTCCTCTCAATAATTTCCAGGGATCGACGCCATGGCTCTCGACATTGCCAGAGTGAGGATGGTGAATAACTAGGAGTATACTGTTCTGTTAGGCCCATTTAAGCAATTCCGAAAAGACATACTACCCGTAGTAGCCTACAAACAACAGCATCCATTTACCTCCTCACGTTCTTCCTCGTCTTCTTGTCGAAAAGTCTTTCTAGCAATTTCCTAGAAATCTACAAGTGGCTCTGAGGTTATTTTGAGACCATCTGGCCTTGGTAGTTCTCCCTAGGAGAAAGTCTTTGCCGTTCATATCTGTGAATATATAGACTAACGCTCTTATTAATTACTTTACATTATTCAAAGTCTGTAGCACCTTTGCTCTTCTTTCTGGCTATAGAACCGTATTACATGAAGAGATACGGCACGGGTGCTAGGAGTGCTGCGAGACACCCCAACAATGTGAGAGTCCAGTGCACACCTAGGTTTTCGTACATTGGCACCGAGACGATAACCATAGGGCCGGCCTAAAGACGCGAATTAGCATGACAGGTTTCTCAAAAGATGCGTCTTGGGAGCGTTCACCACGCAGTATCGTGTTACTGTCATGCCCACCAGAGCACTCGCCGATAAAATCCCGGAGCTATCAATAATGTACTGATAGCTTGAGATGTAAGTTGCATTATAGCGTAGCCAAAAGCTAGACTGCCTACCAAGGGCGACCAGTGATTGACATTAGGCCAACTTGTCCAACCTATCCAGAAAATGCTGATAGGCAGAAGAGGTGCTCCAACAATCGCGTGGGTGAGTCTCTCTTCTGGCACCACTTTTTGTTTTCCTTGCTCGTGAGCCTCAGAATTCCTACGTTTGAATCGGATGTGGATGGGCCATATGGTAAAAAGCTGCAAGGGCTGTTTGTTAGTGGATGCAGTAATTCATGTGGAGAGTTTCACGCACCGAGAGGAGGAACCCTATATTGATCGCGATATAGCAAAGGCCTGTATGTGCCTGGTTCAGTCCATAGATCCCAGTGCTACCGAATATGAACTCACAACCTGGCAGGAAGCCAAATAGGACCGTGTAGATGACGGCCATGTACAGCGAGAAGATCTGGATGTTCGGCTCAGTAAGCAAGAACTTCAGGAGTAACTTGACGCTGCGCTGAAGTTTTCGGTAGAGATTAATGGCTTCGATCTCGTGCTCTGAGCGGTACAGCTCATTGCCAGTAGCCTTACGCAGCGCCTGCGCTTTCCATTTAAGGAGTACTGGAGCGAATGTCTCTGGAACGAAAAGCAAGATAGACAACAATAGAGTACCGGTTAGGATCAATGTGAGCCATTCTGTAGGAAGAGTTAGCAGGAGATTCGAGACGAGGGGTGACAAAGCCTAGAGTTTGCATGTACCTGTCCATTGCCAGCTGATCAGCGGACTAGTCCCCATGAAAGCTGCGACCATTGGTGCAAGGAAAGGCCCCAGAAAACATAAGCAGAGAAGCAAGGGAAATACATAGGTGCGCTCGACTGGCGACCACAGGTCTGCTGTTGTGCCGCCAAAGTTCGTAAGGGGGGGACAGCCGAACACGCCAGCAAAGAAGCGGCATGCAAGCCACGAGCTGATTCCTGGTGCAAGTCCAGCTCCCATGGCGAAGAGAGCAAATATGATTAGACTTAGAAGCGTCAGCTCGCTATACTTGACAAGGATTCATAGGCGTGCCGAAACGTACTGGCTATGTACACAGGGTTTCTGCCCAGGATTTCAGAGAAGGGCGCGCTGACCAAGCTACCGAGCCCGAACGCAATCATGAACAACGCTGTGCCGAGCAGAGCGATTTCTTTACACGCGTTACCACCTTGCATCGTTCCCTTCCGAGATAACAATCAGGCTTCCTCGTCCATTTAATTAGGCTGTCATCTGAGTTTATGCAGGAAGATAGTTGACCAGTTTGTTACCCCAAATCTCTTGTCCTTCAGTAATATTTGCATTTGCATAAATATAGAGGAAAAGTTATCGTAATAGGGCAAAATCTGCAGCAGGGCATTGCAAACGACCTGGTAAACCACAGTTAAATTCACTCATGCCTGATTGACATTCAAATAACCAAGATCAGGTTTCTTAGTCGCCCTGGGCCTGAGCCTTCTTTTCATACATTTCATACGCAGACCTCTTCTATCATCCGATCGGCATCAGTCTCCGTGACACATAGTATAGAGGTCCAATTAGGGTTATCACTTACCAACGTGGCTTCCCTGGCCGCTGCTTTTTTCGCTTCCGCATGCTTTTCCTTTTTCTTTTCCCTCGCTGCCGCCTTTTCATATGCGTTCTTCTTCAGATACAGGAACATTGTGTGATAGTTTCACAGAGATATGACGCCCGAATTTAAGCTTGGTAGAAAGTAGGATTTGAAGTTTGTGGATGCAGTACTGATCCACAGACTGTGAGTCGCAGTATGTATGGATGGATGATATCATTTACCCCGACCCCTCGCCGAAGTTGATTACACCCGGGTCAGGGCGGTGAGTAATCTCGAACTACGCACCAAACCCTGAGTACTCTGGCATCCCCTACGCAGCACGATCGATCTCAAGCCCCTCCCCCCGCCTCCCGGTTTTAGTATAAGTGAGAATGGATTCGAGCCAACAAGTTAACATGGCCCACGTCATCTCAAATCCCTTCAACTATCTGACTGGGAAGGAACAGCCTTCGACGAGAACCCGCCATCCTGTATCCACTACCGTATAGAGTAGCGAGTAATAATCAAGAACCGCGTTAAGTACCATCACGTTCCAAATCGATGGTATTTGCACTTCACTGTACATGGATAGTGTGTAATATAAATAAGGCTGATAGGCTTCATCATTTCTCTTCAAAATATGTAGTAATATTTTCAGCATGACCCTTGCTCATCTCTCTAACAGGCCGCGACGTTATCTTATGGTAGCCCGGGGAAGTTGCATGGTGCTCGATCTATTGTGCTGCGGCAAGATGACGGTACGCCCGCGGGTGTCTCATCCGTGGCATCTGGGCTCGTCTACCCTGGCATCGGCCCGGAGATTGCAGTACTGCATGCAACCGGCCGCAATTCCGTCGCAACAATTCCGGGCGAAGAAGTTATCAGTACGTTTTCTGCATAGCGAAATTCGAGGGGATTATCCCGGCGTTGGAAAGTGCGCATGCTGTGGCGGTCGCGATCCGATTGGCGTCGCAACGCCTAGCGTCCGAATGGATACTGGTCAATCTTTCTGGGCACGTCAATAAAGACGTTGACTATGTGCCTGAGAATCATGGGACAGGTTCATAAGAAGTGTCGAACATTCAAGCATCAAATGATAATTGTTAAGTGATGATGTGTGGTAGAAATTTCTCACCTGGTAGATAGACCGAACTAGGATGTGATGAGAGGCCAGAGGAAGAAAGTCAAATACCCGCATTGGCTGGCTCGAAACTCCAGTAAATAGAGGGAGAGAAGACGACGAGAACATACCTAAGTTTTGGAGAGCCGGAGGTTTCCCTGATGCTCCAAAACAATTTCACACAGCCTTGCTCTGGCGAAACCTTCGAAGTCGATCAATCATATTAGTTGCCGTGTTCAGCAGTGGGTGGAGACGTTATCCCCCCACTTTGGCAAGGCTCTCATGCGTGGCTGAAAAGGTGACTAAATTCCCCTTGGCTTCGAGGCCGGAGTCCCTTCTTCCGGTTCCGGTTGCATGACTTTATCATAACTATTATTCTTGGATACACAATAATCGCGATGGGTTTCTTAGACAACAAACAACATTGCAATCTGAAACTTTGCTAAGAGACTGGATGGTCTCTCACTTTAGGATGTTTCACTATCCCCTAGCTGACTTCTCACTGCTTGAATTGGAGATAGATATCTTGGGACTCCAAAGCTCTCCGTTCTGGAGAGAAGACCTAATGGAGTCTTTACTACCAAATGAAGTATCACCCCTTACATAGATGTACGGCCTCATCATTAGCGCGAGGTATTTCTGTCACGATATTGAGAAGGTGACGGTTGAATATCTTCACCACTGTATAAAACAGATCACCAAAGAGCTCACATTGTTTCTTCCAACGCAAGGCTGAGTAGTGGTTTCCTGATTGAGGGTTACAGAAGCTGTTTATAGATCTGGACCTCGCCAAGTACGGCATATACTGACTGGTTTTCCCCTCTTTTGCATGATTGTATGATCTTCATATGGAGACTGAATGACTCATACAGGTCCACCCTGGCAGATTGCCCGTCACAGCCTTGTCCTGGGTCTACTGCGCCCTCATATACGGAGTAGGGTCGGAAACAAGGCGCTTTTGCCATATTGACCAAATGGCATATAAACACCTCGGCAGCTCGCAAAATAAATGCACAGATAGAGACAAATCTCAAAGAAACCAACACAACCTATTATACTCATTTTACTAACCACCAGCATGAAATTGTCTACCGCTCTCTCCGTGCTTCCATTCCTAGCTGGCACCGATGCCCTCCCTAAGGCCCAGAGACCTGCCCGCTTCGACGTTATAGTCACCAGTGAAGGCCCCATCCAGTATCGTGCGCTGGCATCTTCTTCCTCTTTCTTCTGGCTGGGCAAAGGCGATGGCTTCACCGACTCTTACTGTCCTCCCGACATAGAGAAGACTGGTCGGTGTCCTCCTGGTAAAGTTACCGTTCTCAAAAATGCCCACACGTTGGTATAATTTTCTCTTTCCTCCAATCTCATATTCAAGGCCTGACTAACCATTCTCCTTCAGGACTCTGTTCTTCCCGGTCAGATCATCTACGTTGATTCCAACCGCGCCGTAAGGGCCACCGGTCCCAACCAAACCGAAATAGAGGAAGATCGCACCGTTCAAAATCCTATTAAGCCAGATGATCTCACCGATGGGTTCAAATACGTCCCCGGGGACCGCCACGGCACGTGGACATTTAAGGACCACGGCGCCGACGGCTTCATGGCTTGTCCTTACCAGGAGGATATCTACCAGGTCTATGTCAATAGCCCGGACGCGAAGCCTCAAGGGCACAACCTCGACGATTGTGTGCCCTTCACTGCGGGTGCGTTTGAGTACAGCCTTCCTGCGAATACCACCGCTGCTGCTTGGGAATACTAGGCAGAGAGCAGAGAGCATATGCAAGGGACCTCTGTTCCTTCAAAATCCGCGTGTGGATACCTGGCTGCCCCGGCGGGACATAAGCGTCACTCCCATAATAGCTACCGGCTATCTCGATTCATTCGTTTAACCAACCAACCTCAATGCAATTTGCTATTGATTCCTAGTCCCTGCGTATGGTTTGTCACTCAAGACGAAAAATCTAATCTGCGATGCGTAAGTCTCTTTTGTCTACTCCGAGAACAAATTTCTTCAATACCCCTCATTCACATTAATATATCGATAAGGGTATCATTGTAGATCTCGGCCTACCTTGCTTGCGAATTTGTCCTCTTGGGCGAGATTCTTTAGAACTAATATGCAGTGTTGGCCCGCAGAGTGTCTCCACAATGACTACGAATGATGTGGACTGAATACGAAAAGAGTTGGCGAACAACGGCCTTGTTGGCCAGAAAGAAAGACGCAATCGTTTCCCACATTCTTCTTGTCTTAATCTTCTTGACATGAACTTGAATTAGACGATGCCGAAGGAACAACTCCAGCTTGAAATGACCTGGGAAGGGATCGTCGCCGAACCGGTTGGGGGCCAAAACACGTGAGCAAGATCAGATTCGATGAAGCGGGTCTCACACTGATTCTCATTAGCAGTCCTAGTTACGGAAAATCCTCATTTTCGAGGAGGAGGATATGGGCAGAGGCTGACCGTTTCACTCACAATCACAAACCATCGTCATGTCTTCCTGTCGTACGAATTGCTCGGAGCGACCGACCCCCTTGTCTCCCGATAATGATATCACTGGACCTGGAGTTCGTTCCCTGAAGTGTGCCACGGTTCTTACTCTTACAAAATCAGGTAATCATCAACTACGTTGCATCTGCAGGAATCGCCGTCTTCGTAATCATGCTTTACTTCTTGGTGGCTTTTGACCCAGCCCGTGATCCATTCGCAAAGGATGAAAAGTCCGCAGAAAACCCGCCATTTCGTCCCAATGCGATTGACCTGCTTATTACGCGCAAGTTAAGAGGCTGGGTCCCGGGATGTATGAGTCAATGTCTCAAGAACAGACTAGAGAATTCATTTGTCAAGGTACACTCTAGCCACTCATCTATTTGGTGCTTTCTGGGCGCGAGATCTTCGCTGATTTATACTAGTGTGTCGTTGCAATGGGCGACCTTCAACTTGTCACGGGATTCTCAATCCTGATCAGCGGTGCTGTTCAGCTGAATTGCGGCCTCGCTGTCTGTGAATGGAAAATTGTCGTCTATCTGGCATGGTTCTCTTGTCTGACTCATTTGTCCTGTCTGATGGCCCTGCGAAGCTACCTTTACGTCCACACCATTGGAAGGACCTGGAGGCTGGTCGCGATGGGTGTACTTGCCATACTGCTGATAGTCGGGTTACTTCCCACAGCTAATTATGCCCATCTTTATAGTCAACGCCCTCGCCCTTCAGATTATGCCAAGTGCTATTTGAAAGCTCACCGCTCCTCGGGTATAGCACTTTGCTCAATGGTCCTTTTGGTCTTGACTATAGCCATTGGGTTTATTTCTCGCGTGATGAAATTACACAAAATGCTGTCCGTCACACTTCGGGGAGGGCTCAGAATCCGGGCCAGTCGTGATAGTCGAACCATACTGCGTGTCATCTACAGGTGGTGTACCAAAAGTGGCCCAGTGCAAGGATTGGGCTTCTCTCTGGTATATCGACCTGTGTTGGCAGTGTTCCTTGTAGCACGTTTCGTATTAGACACATGGGTTTCCATGTTTGTAGAGGTATGTTCACGTTTTATCGCTGGCCTCAACATTGATAATCTGATCCGAATAGGCGCTGTGGCATTTCATTGCTTTTTTCTGGGGTGTCGTCCGCCTAATGACTGAACTCAACGGCACTTCCAATGATCAAGATTTGTGGACAAAGACCGCAGGGCAGAATAAAGGTAAGTGGATTTTGGACAAGTTGTATCCTTGGTGCTGCTGGTGGCACCTCTCATGAGTCTGTTGGAATTTTTAGACCAGGGCATGTCTCTTTCGATGTTGCAGTGCCTTTCGGCGGAGTATTAATTTGTCTTTAACAAATAGATACTCCTATTGGTGCCCGAAAACGGTGCCTAGGGGTGTTTATGAACCCCACGAGCCTATGGGACGTCCTTCCAATCCTGTTCTACCTCGAAATATGGAAGCAGTTTCAATTCCCGAAGATCTGGATGGGAACTGGTCTAACGATTCCGAGACTCTTGGGGTGGCCATTGTCTACGGTCTTATCTCGATGATAATTTTCATCATGCAAATATTCTTGCCCTCCATGACTGAACCTTTGTTTGAGATATTGTTCAGTCTAGAATGGGGTATCAAGGTAGTTCTTGCGTTGACGGGCATCCATAAAGTCGTTCTGTTTTCTTTGCTTATTCAGTCGGAAGTGAGCAAAGACAGAAAGAGGGCTCGTCGCTGTCTGCAAGCTTTGAACGTTGCATTCTATGTGCTCAGCTTTAACTTCGGGGGTGCGAACTTCGCGGGCGTGTATTCAATTGATGACAAAAGCTACATTTGGTCGAATTCCTTGCAACTTTTTGCCCTCGGAATTTACGGGCTATTAGCGGTTGTGTTTCGATGGACTGAGTAATGAGCAAACGGTATGCAACGCATAGGTGACATATGTTAACATCTTACAATGCAAAATCCTACACCCTGGACTATTGTCCCTGTTTACTACTGGATTGATCATTTTGAGAAGAAGAGGTACATACACAGTTTGCAATGAGGAGCTATGTTATTCTAGATGCGGGTTACCACAAGTATGTAGAACGCGAACCATCAGCGTCTTCTTTCTAGCTCATTTCCCAGTTCTTTCTAGAATTGATATCTACAAGCTCAAATGGTTTTGTTTGTGTGTGGCCCAACTTTCCCAATATTCGAGTCCAATTTGGCTCTCATGGGGACCGTAAGCTTCATCGGCTTTGCGCAAACAGCTCTTCCCATCTCCATAGTAATTGGATTCTGAGGAAACGATCAATCCATCAAATCACATTGGCCAATCTGATAGGTTCCAACGTGAGGCTGAACGGCGATTTGGGGAAGTGTACAATCGAACAATTCCATACATTATGCCCCTCGTTGGATTGGGTACATTGCTTATGAAAGAATCTCACAACGTGATTCAAGTATGCTTTTTCTGTCGAACCCAAAAATCATATCAATGTTGAAGGTAAGGCATCCGAGGTGGAGCGGCTGTACATCTTCTCGTGCGTGCCCACGAGACTCGAGATCGGAATTATGAGATCCAGTTCAAGATTGCCAGGGCAACAACAACCGACACATCAGATACTGGTCATTGGTTTGAGCGTTTCTACACATGATTAGCCACTATTTTCGGCATCTAGCGAGCGCGACAAAAACGGGATAGTAGGCTCACATTAATTGGAGCGCTGGGGTTGCCAGCAGCCTCGACCTGCTTACTATCTTCGAGTGGAATATTGGGTTTTGGACTTTTGTCGTCTTCGGGTCGACGGAACTCAATGTTAGCTGTGCAGCAGCAGCACACTAGAGCCGCCAATCCTTCTAAAAGAAATCCCACCGCGGAATCCATTTCCTGGGGCTATAGATGACAGTCAACACCCTCTTTCAATATAAGTTTGAGCCACAGAAACAGGTGAAGATGAAATATCATGTGTAATTATATTTGTCTTCTGGAAGTTTTAACTTCGTAGAAAATAGCCTACGAGGCTCTGTCCAGCCCCTGTGGTATGATGACGTCAAATCAGGGGCAAACCGGTTAATAACATCTTCCCGATTGAAGACCGGAAGGAGTTCCACCTAAAAAGAGCTACAAGTGCTTACGCATGATTCGTCCTTACGGTTGACGCTAGACACCCTGCTTGCCTCCACGTATGTTACCATTTAGGGACATGTAATTTGCTGCCCATTGATTCTATGTATGATCAGTGTTTATTAAGCGCTTCAGCTTATACCTACTTTAAAAAAATTCTATTTTGACTCTTTTCCAAATCACACAAATCATCAAAGCCCTGGAATTTGGCCGGAACTCTCTTTCGAAGGGGCCACCTTGTTCCCTGCGTGGAGCCGAAATGCGGGTCCTTAACCTCCTTAGTGCAACTCCGATATGACCATCTCATTTCCGGGACGATAGTATCTAGTTTAGAAGTTCGCAGCTCGAGCGAAATTGGGGGTCTTCTTGGCAATTCTCTCCTGAGTACATGAGATCAGCTCGTGAATGGGCGTAATTTGTTGGCATTAGCTTCTAAGGATTGAGGCTGTCAATTTTGCGTTTCCACTACGACAAGCCGGTTTATCCGTTGCCAAGAACCCCTAGAATCTCAAACACTTATTTCAGGTTAAATACTCCTTCGCCTCTGTCAACACCCCCATTCATACTCTAGACATTCATTATTCAAGAACAATGTTCTTATTGGGATCTCCATATCATGCTGCCCGGTCTCGACGACAAAGGTCCTCCAAGCTGGGAAGGAGGCAGCAGCGAGAAACAGTTCTTAATACTACTAGAGCTTCTTCTGGAACGGAACACCAATCCGGTTCGTCAACTGCAAACACTTCCGGCAGTGATAAACCATGCACATGTCCGTCATCAAATTTCCAAGCAAAGAATGAAGCCGGCTGTAAGGCTCTTATGACAGCAGGATATAGACAAACAACTCACCTTAACAGCAAATGAAACACCAGTCAACTCATCCTTCGATAAAGATGATCCGCCCCCTCCATACCCTGAATCTGCCTCCCAAGTGAACCTCGCGCCATCACAACGCAACGCTATCTAATTTCGGGTGAACGCTGAGCTTGCAATTTGAGTGTTCAATGCAAGGTCTTGGAGCTACAAATGGTGGATCTAGGCTTAAAAACTGCAGTAGATATAGAAAGAGAAGAGGGGGAGAGAGACTATAGACTAGGTCTACAACCACAGAAGTAGGGTTGATGCCTCAGACCTCACAAAGTTGTTGAAGCCAAAATCTACTCGTGACTAAGCAACACCGATAGTCGTTCCCTCCCATCGGTGAGCCAAAGCTAAAACCCAAACCAATGCTACAACCCAAAAATTCAATTGAATCGATTTCAACCCCCATTTTTACCTACCAAAAATGCCTTTTTCTCCCCAAAAAGAAGAGGAATTACTCTCTCAGGCCCTGGATGCCTACAATACCAAAAATTTCCCCAGTATCAACTCTGCAGCTGCCCATTTTGGGGTGTCAAAACATAAGCTTCGCAATCACAAAAACGGCACCCCTTCTCAAAACGGTTATAATTCAACCAACAGTGCATCAAATCCATCACAACAAAAATCTCCACTTCACTAGATTAAGCTCCTTATTTCGGTTTATACACCTCCTACCGCAATTAAGATTAGTGATACTACAAATCGTATTTTAATATATAGTGGTTCCGACCAGAAGATTAGTAAAATATACAGATACAATTTTGTTCGACATCTACCTCCCCATTTATCACTTCAACCTCAAAAACTAATAGAAAAGACAAGAATTAAGGCTAAATCGCATGGTCTATTACATTTTTGGTACAAAATTTACAATGAATTCCTCAAAAAAACATGATATCTAGTCCAATAAGCTATACAATTAAAACGAAACTAGCTTTTAACTTAATATTAGAACTTCCTAAAATATTATTTCTACTTATTAAAATAAGGCTATTAGAACTAGGGGAATTAGCCAAAATGTCACTAGAATTGGATATATTTTAGTAGATAGATAGTGAAGTGGGAAGAGCGCGCTGGCGGTCTGACATCGCAGACAAGACGACGGGGGTGCTCAGTGCTCGGCGGGATCAGGGAACTACGCAGTCCCCCAGGACTACCGGAATAGGAAAGAGATGCTGTTCTTGCGAGAGATGTCAAATGCTTGAATTGCTATGCTAGTGTGTTGGGCCTAGAAATACCCCTGGGATGCCTGAGGCACACCTGAGTACTGGCGCGGTTTCCCCATTACAATAGGTAATATATCCTTGGTTCTTATTTCGTGGATCTGTAACGGAGTTCTTCTCCATACTTCCCCGTGACAATGGATACCTGATATTCCAGGCAATAAGAACTCATGCCTCAGGGGTTCGGAGCTCATGGATCGGGAGACTACCGAAAAGGATCAAAACGTCATACAAATCGATGACGAATCGACGTAGACTTTCTACAGCTCACAGGACTTAATGGCCCCTTCGATGGATTGGATATTTAAGAGAAAAAAGCGAGGCTTCTCTCTGATTCTAATCAAGAATCAGTCTTATATTCAATAAGAAAATACTATTAAATTCCCCCTATTTTCTATTAATTTATAATCATATCGATGTCTATTCTTATACTTTCTTTTACCAAGTTAATAGATATTATATCTAATAACGTATAACTTTTATAATTTCTAATTCTTCTACTTTCAACTCTCTAAAAAAAGGAATATATAAATACAATCAGTTGGATTAATTAAAAAGAATCCTATTTAGCAAGAGATATAAGAATAATTAAAATTAAAAAAATCCCTATTATAAAAACAAAAATTAATATCAAATTAATATTGATTTAACTAAAAGATATTCTTGAAAAAACATAATATATATTAGTCTAAATTACCTACTATAAAGAATTTATAACTACTACTAAAAATTTAAAAGAAATAAAAGATACTTATAAAGCTATAAAAAAATAATAAAAATAATAAATAACCCTTTTAGACAATCTAAATTCGTTTTTATCAGAATCTAATAAAAGCAGATTTAATAGTAATTCGTCTTTAAAACAACTTTAAAATTAACAACAAAAAAAAAGATTAAATAAATTATATTAATATTTTTAAGAAATATTTTAATATCTTCTAAAAAGAGATCTAGATCTTTAATCTCAAAGATTTCTTTCTAGAAATATTAAACAAGTATATCTCTAATAAATAAAAGATACTTATAATA